GAGTTCCACAACTAAACCAACTGAACCAACAACCGCAGATGAATATTTGTTAGTCATCACTCTCCCTGTTGACCTATTGGATTGGATATGTTCCAAAGTAAAATAATGTTACGATGGATTTGCTTGATTGATGAGAACGTGCATGTTGTTCAGGAACTGCTGTTCTGGAACAGTTTGCAGAACAGTAGATACGAATAACCTAGCTCTGCATTCTCAATATCTTCTATTCTTACAGACTGACAATGAGTTTGAATGATATTGTGCTAATGGGTTTAAGTAAGCGTTTTGGGAAGGTTTCAATGGAGCCCACCCGGTATTGTCCTTCGTTCCCTGTTACCAGATTCTGATTAAAAACCCTCCTTTTCCACATCAATACTTTGCTTAACAGAAATATACGATACTGCCCATACTTATTCTTCACGAATGAGGTTAGGTCACGCGAGTAAAAAGAATGTCACCTAGTCAGTCTCGCTTCAAAACGAACGAATTGGTAATAGGTTGTTAAATAAGGTGTGGACCGTTTTTATAAACCAGCAGAATCCAATAATATATTACTCGATGGCGTGACCAGTTGCCGCCTTCCTGTTCACTTCTCAATTTCAATTTTTCAAACGGCAGCGCCAGGTCCCAAAAAATCATCTAACCAGCGCTCATACTCACAGAAATCGAGACATGCACCATTTATAAGCTTCGCGGGGAGCTTCGCGGAAGGAGCTTCGGGAGCTTCGCGGAACAAATGGTAAGATGATAGATCGAGATTTGGGAAATATGGGTACTGAAGCCCTTTCACTCAAAACTTGCAGGACCGTTTTGACGACGTTTGCCGTATGAGGCCATGTTTAGTCATGTAGAAAAACTCACTCAATCTGTTATGCTTTTTCTGCGGCAGAGCTTGGTTTAAACGTGCAGTCGGGTTGTTTATGTGTCGTCGAACGTCGTCTTCTTGTTCAGCAAGTTTTAGCGCAGGAATTTCTGCTGGTCCCCCGAAAAGTCTTGTTCAAGGACCTGTATTACCTCTGGTCTTTTGTAACAATCCAATCCTTTTTTGCCTCGTATCAATGTGGGAATGCCATGTCTCGTAATTGGCAAAAAATCTATGCAAACTTCTTTGTGTAAGCAAAAATGCGCAAATGTCGAAATTGCTCCTTTTTGCCTTTTGGAATTTCCATCTTTGGAAGCTAAGAGATCCGGTAGCCCCTTCCAATGATATAAGCATCTTGCCGCAAATCAACCGCTCCTCAAAGAAATGAGGACGAAAATGAAAAACGCTAAAATTTATGGAACGACCTAATATAAGGACACCACTCGACTTAGCTCGGCCGGGCGCATGGTATATAGTACCATAGTCTTCGGCTTGCAGTAGGCATGAATACTGTATGGTATCCAAAAATCTTCAACCTTTTGCTGGTAATTCTGGTAATGCAGTACTCAAGTGCTCACAGTGGAAATTTTTGTTTACACAAATTTGCTTCTGAATATCACATGGTAGAGTTACTGTAGCAAAACGGTGGTGAGTCATTCTGCACAGACTCGTCTCAAAATATTTATCTATCTATTGCATGCGGCAGATGTACTGCATTAGGTCAATCACTACGGATATGTCAATATTAGTGAGAGAAATTTGCGTGCTCTTTCTGAGAGTGGAAGCATATTACCCCTATACTATAATATTATTCACGACTGCTACCACTGTGTTGACATTCTTTCTATAAGGGAGAGAGAGAGCTGTAATGTTCTAATTTTCGGCAAATCAATGTCTTTATTAATAATGTTGAACTGCCTTTAGTTCACATGCCTGTCATGTCAGCATGTTTTTTTCTAAACGAATGAAACCGTCGAAAACTATAGCTTCTTGATTTAGGAGCTTCTACTGGATGGATAGATTATATGAGCGAAGCATGGTCGGGAAATGGAAGAAATAATTGGAAGTACAACTAAATTGTAGCCGATACAGATTTGAAGAGTTTTTCAATATTGCCCTTTATGTGCTGAAAAATGTTGGAAAACAAGAGATCAACCTAAATTTGTCTTTTTTCCGCTGGGAAGAAGTCGAAGCACGGATGTACACTTCCATCCGCCGATGAATATTTTATCAACTTTAACCGGTTTTCGATTTACACACCCTCTCTGAAGTCCTCCCTTGTTTCTTTCTTTCTTCTTTCCGTATGCACTTTTTAGACACTATATTTGTGGAATAATGGAGGCTTTGCTAGTAAAATTCTTTAAACTTCTTTTTATTTCGTATTTTACACTCAAGGTGCGCCAATATGGAAACAATAAAAACAAACAAGCAGACAAAACCAAACACTGAACAATGACGAGCAACACATATCAGTTCAGAATGGACAACGGAGCAGTCTAAGAGAATTGATTAGAAAAAGGCTGCAGTATGAAAATATCAAGACAATACTTTTTTTGCATTAGAATAGCTAGAGTGCTAACAAACAGGTTTCTAGTTCAAAAATAGCAAATAAGATCTATTTCATCATTCACAAAAAACTAGAGAACTAGTGCAATTTTGCTGAGCACCGCATTCGTGAAGTCACTATACAGAACTTGTTCCTGTTGTTCTTGCATGACGACTGGCAACACTTCCCACTCTCTCGTCATGGAACTTTTTCTTATGTTGTTTGGCGAGCATGTGCTCTCGTCGCTGGTATACAATCGATTTTGTTTGACTCTGATTTCGCTTGTTTGACGATTCCTCTTTCCAAAGATTTGAATCAGCAAAAGAGTACCTTGACTTATTGACAGTCATTGTGCAGCTTTGAACTGTCCTCCTTTTGCACTTCGCAAGTCTTGATTTCCACTTATAACCTATTGGCGTTCTCTTCTCTACTTTCTTGGTCATCAAAATATCAGACTGTCATGCTAGGTTGTCACCCCCACAAATCAGTTAGGATGATTCTCATAACAAAAAATGGGCTGTGTTAAATCAAATAGCATTTGCCAAAAATCTGCTAGACATCATCATCCCGGAAAGCGCATTTTTGGTTTTACTCTAATCTAAGGTGATACATATTGATTGCTTAAATTCTTGACCGAACAACTCGCCAGCGATATGTAATTTGTTCATTTTGTGTTGAACGATAATTTTTGATTTTAACCAAAGTTCAGATGAGGTGTACTGTTCCTGAATAATATAAGTTGATGTGTGCTCAAAAAATTGCAGGAAATGTTATCATTTATGATTATTTGAAATCCCATTGACAGACAACCTGCCAGTATCCTTAGCATATGAAACACTGTTGACTATCAGATAGGACAAACTGACGGACATTACCAATTTAGAAGTGTAAACTATACAGAAAATTTCAAATGCAGTAAAATTTGATCGTTATCTAGTCTGGCACTTTGGTATTAAACCTTTATAGAAAAAATATTTTCGATTTGCGCGTTTGTTCCTTACATAAGTCCTACTTAGTTTCTAGGACTAATCAAAAGTCAACCGTGAAACCTGCTAAATTCATCAAACTCTAAAACGAGTACTGGCGGAATGAAATGGTCTTCTCTTAATTTTATACAACCTCTTTGACAGCCGAAAAGAAAATTACACTGGTAAATTGACGCAGAGCGATCTATAGCCAAGCAGCAGCAGGATCGATAAGGATGATAAGTAAACAAATTGCTTCCATCCAGAAGCTGCTTTATAGTTCCTGCTGGGTTTTGACTTCTAAGCGTGATCTAATTCAAAAAATACAAGGATAACATTATTTCACTCATAGCTCGTTTCATGTTTTGTATCTCTTAGAGTGTGCCTGCAATAAAATTACAAAGAAGTTCATCGCCGATAGGCCTTACAGACTTCACTAAAAAGGAAAAAAGAACTTATTTTGTGGATGGTCTTTGTTAGATTGGTAGTTTAATTTGATTAGCGAGGGTTTTGTGTGATTGATAAAAACAAATGTTTCTTACAATTGAGATTCTCATGATTTGAGCTCTTTCCTTTGTGATTACGATTATATTCCGACTTGCTGTGGATGGGATTATGGGAGTGACAAGGATGAAGCCTCAAAGTCAATTGTTGGTCTGACCATTATGCGAAATAAAGTTCTTGGAGGGTACATGACCTATGGGAAAGACTTCCTTCTCGGATAAGCACTTTCTCGGATAACTACCTCTCAGACAATTCATGGGAATCTCCCGAAGACTGTGTTCGAATCTTCCTTGGGTCGCCTGTGGAGAAAAGGGGGGACTTATTTACAGAACTTCTCGAGGGCTTATAGGCTTTCATAGCTGTACAAAAACATGATAATAAATTCTGCTCTTTCTGTTCGAAGCCACATATTTGATGCAGTTGCTACACATTTGAACTCATGTAACATCATTATTTACTTCTTAGAAAGCTCAGGATGCTCCCATCCGATGTCAACAAGATCCGATGTATAATTGTCCAGACTTATAATCTAGCGAAATTCCCATTTTTGCGCTTCCGTTCACCTCTGTACTAAATGAAACCCTAGGGAAGTCCCCATAAATTGTCTGATTGATTTCTACCTTATTCTTGGTACTCTTTTTATATATTCGGTTGTATTTACAAACTACTTTGCAATCAGAATTCTTATTAGCAAAGCATGCGATTGAATATGCGTCATTAATCTTCTTTTTTGACTTATATACAGAGCCTCATCTCCATCACATAAGTTTTTTGTAGCTAAGCAGAAGCTGGAGTGCGGCACTAGAGTCTCTAGAGTCTCTCTACAGCGCAAGTAAAATTCCAAAACCCTTATGAGCTGATTTATAAACGTTGCAGCTTTTTTGTTCATTGGCCATTTCATTCGTTTAATGTTCCGCACTCTGCTCATTTTACACTTTCGTCTATAAGTTGTTCATGATCACCACTAATGGTTTCCTAGCAGCAACTGGTTTCAAACCATAGATTTTGGTGATAATGCGAAACTCTTGATCATATGTAGCATGGTCATTCGCTGGCCTTTGAAACTTATTTATTTTCTGTGACTAGCTGCACAAAATTTTCTTGATAACGTTTTCACTTGCAGATGATTATCCACTGTTTTTTGATCTCATTGGTGTTGTTGCAAACGTCAGCTCAGGTATTAGACCTGATACCAGGAAAGGTGCATGGATTCGACTATCGTATGAAAAATGACGACCTAGCTGAGGTGTTTCTAAAAATTCCTTATGCGGCTCCGCCTGTAGGGGAGCTGAGATTTGAGGTAATCCAAAACCTTTCCTTTACAAAATGATCTGCAGTTATAACTTCAGAAACCCAGGCCAGTCATTCCATGGAGAGACATGGTCCGTGACGGCACATCATTTGGTCCTGGTTGTCACCAAATACTACCAGATGTTGGCTTCAAAAAAGTTCCGACTAGTGAAGATTGTCTTACTCTGAACATCATTCGGCCGAAAAAGGAGGTTTCTTATTTCTTCCTGGGTCACATTATTTTTCATCATTTAATTTTTACTATTTATACAATTATTTGTTTCTTTTGAATATCAATTAGTTTTTGTTGTTGTTGTGTCCGTCGCTTCGGACACTCGATGTCTTCGGTAAGTGGAGGCGAAGCAGAAGAATATTTATTAGAGATAAATATGTAGACAAAAAAAAACAGAGGCTGAGTGAACAAACTGAACTGACAATAGCTAATAACGAGCGCCTTTTATAGCGCTCTTTTCCCGCGCACGGAGGTCGCAGGCGCCTCAGCGAGGACAGATCATAAGAGAAAACAACTGATAAAATCACTAACACAACACCTCCCCCAGTAGGGTAGTTACAACAACAAAAAAAACTAGCCTACGATAAAAGCATAAATACAAGTATGAACAGCTAGAAATCAGTCATATATAGATATCATTATCATTTAAACAACTACAAACTAATGAAACAAACATACTATGAACTAGATTGGAACCGTTGTACCGGTCTTCTCGTTCTGCTCGACCTCCGAAGCGTTGTCGGTGGCGTGGAGGGCTCGTGGCTGGATGTCGACGTCGATGTCGTTGAATCCACGGGTGCTGGCACGTCGCTGGCGATCGCTTGCTCGGAATTCTCGTCGGCTGCACCCCTATTCCTCCATAGAGTGTCGTCTTCTGTCAAAACATCTAAGAGTATCTTCAGGGCTTCGGATTGTTGTTTGAGTTGCTGTTGGACTGCAAGCTGTTCGCTGTCGCTTCGATGACGTAGCTGATTGGCATGCTTCTTGCAAATCTCATTCCCAATCATTACTTCGTAATTGACACTACCAATACGTCTCAATACGGTCCCTTTCATCCAATGGAAGTGGGGTGGCTTCCATTGCTTAGCGTATACCAGGTCACCAACTTCGAAATCTTTTCGAAGGACTCCATGCTTCTGGTCGAACTGATCCTTCATGCGCTCTCGTCTTCTTCGTGCAATTGGGTCTTCTGCATCTTCTGTCATCGGTAGCAGCAGACTTAACCTTGTGCGCAAGTTTCTGCCTAGGAACAATTCTGCTGGTGTCTTGTCGTTTAAGTTCGTGTTTGGTGTTGTCCTATACGCTTGCAACACCACATTTAGAGTCTCTTCTGTTGGCCTCTCCTCCCCCTCTAGTTTCTTGATCCCTCGTTTCAGCGTATCAACGAAACGCTCTGCTTGTCCATTCGATTGAGGGTGGTACGGAGCAGTCCTAATGTGTGTGATTCCACCTTCGTCACACATCTTCTTGAACAAGTCCGATGTGAACTGAGTACCGTTGTCGCTCACTATAGTTTGCGGTAGTCCGTACCTCGCAAACAAATTCTTCAAAGCCTTCACCGTCTTCGAAGCCGAGATATTGCTCATTTCGATCATTTCAGGCCATTTGCTGTAGGCATCTACCACGACCAAGTAGAAAACTCCTTGCATAGGTCCAGCGAAGTCGATGTGTATCCTCTGCCACACTCGAGTCGCGGATGGCCATGCTTCTAATGGTACTTTCGTCGGATTCTTGGCTAATTCCTGACATTTCGTACATCTTCGTACCAAGTCTTCGCAATCTTTATCGATGTTCGGCCAGTAAACGTAACTGCGAGCCAGCTTCTTCATCCTCACAATCCCTGGATGACCACTATGCAGTTCCTTCAAAACGTTTCCTCGAAGCTCCTTGGGTATCACAACCCTCTCGGCTGACATCAAGCATTGTCCCACAACTGACAATGTCTCTCTTCGATTTCGAAAATGTGCCACTTCTCCATTTACTTCTGGCCACTTTCCTTTCTGCACGTAAGTGAGTACTCTTCTAAGTACTGGATCTTTCTTCGTCCAAGTTTGTACATCAGATACCGTTACTGGCAGTTTCCTTATGCAGTTCTTCAGCATATAGTCAACGTCGTTCTCAACGGCAGCTATCACGACATCTTCTTCGAGATTCTGATTCTTCTTCATCAACCTTGACAAGCCATCTGCTTGTCCAAACTTCGTTGTTTTGACATATTCTATGTCGAAGTCATATCCAAGTAGAATTGTAGCCCATCTCATGAGTCGGTTAGCGGAGTAGACTGGAACTCCTTTCTTGTCACCGAAGATGGCCAGCAATGGTCGATGGTCCGTCAGAAGTAAAAACTTTCGTCCAAATATGTACTTGTGGAATTTCTTGACTGCAAAGACAATTCCCAAGGCTTCCTTTTCGATCTGCGAGTAATTCTTCTCTGCCTTCGTTAAAGATCTCGATGCATGTGCAATTGGCTTTTCGGATCCATCCGCATATCTATGCAATATCACACAACCTATGCCATAGTCACTAGCGTCCGCTGCCACGACTATCTTCTGTCTTGGGTCATAGTGAGCAAGGTTTAGCTCACTTGACAATGCATCCTTGAGCTTCTCGAATGCTTCTTGATGTGTTCGTGTCCATTCCCACTTCGCATCCTTCTTCAGCATCGCATCTAGCGGTCCACGAAGATCCTTGATTTTTGGCATGAACGCCGCATAGTACGTTACCATGCCAAGAAAAGCCCTCAGTTGACTAACATTCTTCGGCTCATCCATACTCTTGATCGCTTCGATCTTCGCTAAGTTCGGTCTTCTGCCATTTCGATCCACTATGAAGCCAAGATATCGTATCTCTGGCTTACCGAAAGAACACTTCTCTAGACGAATTTTGAATCCATATTCGTCGATTCTTGCAAACACAGCTAACAGATTCTCCATGTGTTCTTCTTTTGTTCGTCCACAGACCAAGATGTCGTCCAGGTAGGTTGCTACTCCTCGCAGACCATTCACCATTTTGTTCATGATTTGCTGGAAGATCCCTGGTGCTGTCTTGATTCCAAAAGGCAGTCTATTGTACTGGTACAATCCTCTATGCGTGTTTATCACGACCAATTTCTTCGCTTCGTCTGACAACTCAATCTGCAGATAGGCATCCGACAGATCTATCTGGGAAAACACTGTTCCTCCATTAAGGGATGCAAATATATCCTCTGGTAATGGCAATGGATAATCGTACGACTCCAGCGCTTTGTTGAGTCCAGTTGAGAAGTCAGCACACACTCTCAACTTTCCATTCGCCTTCCTAACACATACGATGGGAGCTGCCCACTCACTGTGCGTCACTGGACTTATCACCTTTAGTTCCAGTAACCTATCCAACTCCTTTTCGACGGCTTCGAGCGCAGCATGGGGGACAGGCCTACAAGCCTTGAATACTGGACGAACGTTTTCGTCAACTCTCAGGTGCGCTTTCTCCTTCGTGCAGAGCCCTAGACCTTCTTCGCAGACTTCTGGGTAGGCTCCCTTTAGCTTCGAAGCGATGTCCTTGGTTTGCTCTGCCTTCACTTCGGCAACCATTCTGCTTAAGTGATAGGACATATCTTCGTTCGTCTGGATCCACTCTAACCCTAGCAGTGAGTTGTGGGGCGTCACGTATGCGTAGCCTTCGCTTCTGGATCCTTTGATCTCATACTCACACCACAGCTTTCCATGGACTTCCATGGAACCTCCACTAGCATTCTTGACGAACACGTTTGTGTTTTCCAGCCGAGGAGAACCCATGCTTCTCCAAATGGATTCGTTCAACAATGTGATATCCGATCCAGTATCTAACAGGAAGCTGACTGGATAACTATTCACTTTCGCTTCGATATACATACGTGTCGAGTTGACATCCACCATCGCATTCGCAATCTTCGCAATATTGTGCACATGGCGTTTTGGTTTCGTCCAACTTCTGTTCTTGCTGGTATCGCTGCTTCTGTGGATTCTTCGTTTCGAAACTGGCAGAACAGACGCTTTTCTCTCCGCTACTTGTTCGCAATACTTCTCTTTATGGCCTGTCTTCCTGCACCTCTTGCAGAACCATAGCTTCGCTTTGCATTCCCTAGCAAAGTGAGCTTTACCACAGTTCCAGCATTCCAGCTTAGTGGGTTCTTCCTTGCGCGTTGCTTCGACTATTTTCGTGCATCCAGCTATAGTCTCGCTATCTTTCTTGAGGCTCAGAAAATTTTCGCATTCCAAGTACAATTCCTGTAGCGACATTTTTCGTCCAGCTTTGTATTCCTTGTCCAGCACCGCAATGAGCCGCTGTCTGATTTCGGCTTCTTTTTGGCTCTTCAGGCCAAATATCCACAACAGGCACTTGATCCCATCGCTGTCCAGCTCATGGATCTTCGCCTTTTCGCATAATTCGTTCACTCGACCGGTATAAAGGAGGTAGTCTTCGGAATCCGCCTTTTCCAGCTTCAAACAATGGTAACGCATTGTAAATTCGGAGATCTTCACGTCAAATAATTGCTTCAGTGTTTCGACAGTTTCTTCGAAAGGAATCGCCGTTACCTCTTTCGGTAGCACATGCCTCTGATATTTTTCGAAACATTCCTTGTCGAGCTTTTCGCAGAGAAGCCTCACTCTGGCACTCTCTGGCAGCTGCTTCGCATCTTCGACGAAGACTTCCTTGTATCGCGCGTACCACTTACTGAAGCATTCGTCCGCTTCTGGGTCGAAGTAGAATTTTTCGATCCTGTTGCTCAGTGCGGACATCATGTTCGGGACTTCCGACGATGTACTGACCTGTCCAGTACCTGCGATGTGCTTTAGAAATGTCTCCATCATTTCGTGCCTCTCTTCTCTCATCATTTCCTTGAGGCTCTTCTGGTCTTCTCTGATCAGCTCCTTGAACATGGCCAGCATTTCCTCCATGCCTATCTTCGCCATGTCGACTGATCAGTTCCCGATCGTTTTTCGCAGCTTTCTTCGTATTGAATCCTGTGGTCTTCGTCCGATATCGGCTACTTCTTCGGTAGTAGCCGTCGATCCTGGTCGCCACTGTTGTGTCCGTCGCTTCGGACACTCGATGTCTTCGGTAAGTGGAGGCGAAGCAGAAGAATATTTATTAGAGATAAATATGTAGACAAAAAAAAACAGAGGCTGAGTGAACAAACTGAACTGACAATAGCTAATAACGAGCGCCTTTTATAGCGCTCTTTTCCCGCGCACGGAGGTCGCAGGCGCCTCAGCGAGGACAGATCATAAGAGAAAACAACTGATAAAATCACTAACACAACAGTTGTCTATTTATTACAAGTTATTATTTATTTTTAGCCTCCTCCAACTGGTTTTCCTGTCATGTTCTGGATTCACGGTGGTGGATATCAGTTCGGTTCTGCGCATGACTACGGGTACAAAGGCTTTGCTGACATTTATATACCAAACTACATTATTGTTGTAACCATACAGTATCGATTAGGAGTATACGGTAAGTATAACCTTTTTTCACTATCATGACCAACTCATTAAAAATAGAAATGTTCAGGTTTCTTTTCTTCTGGTGACGAGCGCATATCAGGAAATCTCGGGTTGTTTGATATGGCAGAAGCACTCAAGGTATACAAAAATAAATTTTCTCAGCATTCTCAAATATAATTGTTTTACTTTCTGAGTTTGTGCATTCGAATGCCAAATATATTGGCGCAGATCCGTCCCGGATAACTGTTTGGGGACACAGTGCGGGTAGCTCAGCTGCTGGTCAGCTCATTCTTAGTCCGGTAACCAGAGGTGAGTAAGTCTAGTAGATATCTTCCAAACGATCGTTCTCGTTATTGTACACAATTTTTTGGAGCAAAGAATGAATTCTCTTCTAGATTATCTTCCACGTTCAATCGAAATGTCAGGATCTCCATGGACATCATGGGCGCTGGGAGGAAATGTAGTCAACAACTCATTACAGCTAGCAGAGGTAAGAAGCTAAGTTCATATGTTGTGAATATTTTAAGGCTGTTTTCAGTGTTGGTAAAACTAGCCCCACTTTATTTCTAGGTATTAGGGTGTCAAAAAGACGTAAAAAAATGCCTAAAATCGAAATCTGTGGAGGAAATCTATAGCGGGATTGAAAAAGTGGTGAGTATCTAGCAAAAAGCGCTTACTGTGGATCAGTACTGTGGCAATTGTGTGAATTCTATTTTTATGGTGCCAAAACCCGAGGGCTCAGACTCATAAATTGGGGTACGGTAATCGATGGTGAATTCTTGCAACATCCAGACAAAATGATTGCCGATGCACCACCAAAGGTGTCAATTCTGGGCCTAACGAACAAGGAAGCGGCTGTGTTTAGTAAGTAAAGCATTATCTCTTTTCAATTTCATGAAACTTAAAAAATGGATAAGAAAGTCAAAATTCTATTCGGTTGATTAGAATACTTTCGTTTGGCAACGTGTCCCACCACGCAGAGGTTACTATCATTTTTTTTACTAGAAAGTGCTTTGATTACTCAGAGATTCATTTGTGAAAGCCATTGTGAATGGACAAACGGTTATGCACACCAAAGTAAAATTCCGAGTCTGTCAGACAAACAAAAAGTTTTCGTAAGAGAACTCTTTTACCATAACGACTTTTGCGCTAAAACATTACCCAATTTTTTTATGGAACAAAGCACTGAGATATAGATGCCACGAACTTTTCCAAGAGGTGGAGAATTGAGAATCACTAAAAAAATTCTTTTCATATTTTTGATTTGCGCTGTCGTTGTTTATAGCACTCCTCACTTTTCCTAGAAATCCTCAAACAGGAACAACCTAAATGATTCCAGCATTCACTGAAACTACTGTGCTCTTTATAGAAGCTAAATTTTCACGGCTCTGGAGTATGTACTTCTTCTGATGTTCTCAACTATCTTTCCTTTCCGAGTAAAAACAATGCAGAAAAGTTCGTTGGAATGTGCAAGATACCTTCGCCAAGACTTGTGCGCAGTTTTTTAGCTGCTATGAATTACAGACCAAATTTCACTAATAATTTTCATGTCAGCTACTTATTACCATCAAGAAGGAACTCAATTTCAGCAATAGCAGAGATAGCGAAAGATTTCCATCAACTTCACATTAAGGCTGAAGATTATGAAAAGTGGGACAGAGAGAAATTAGTCAACGAGCTCAAGGAGAACTAAGCTTTGATTTTTTACACTTGAAAATGCCTTCAAATCACAGTTTTTTCAGAAATTGGTAGAACAGGTATACTCCGGCAATCACCTTCAGCAAATTATGGATGAAATAATTGCCTATTATGTTGACAGAAAAGAAGAGAAAAGTTATGATTTCTACATCGATCGCTACACTGAGGTAGGGTAATTTTCTTGTTGAGCTTTCCCTGTAAGCCGTGGAGATTTAGTTCATCAGCGATTTGCTCTTCAATGTCCCAGCTGTGGAGGGAATCTTGGCTCGTCTAGAAGCAGGTTGGGATCTGTATGTCTACTTGCTGGACCATTATAACGATGCCATTTGGGACAGGAATGTCACAAAGAAAATGAGAGGTGCTTGAATTTTGAGATGTTTCGCGCACGAATACACTGTCTAAAAATTTCATTATTTAGGAGCCCCACATGCCAGCGAAACACCCTATACGAACGATGTGTTTTTTCAAAAACACTTCGAATTTGACGACAAGGAACGAGTTGTTGCAGAAATTTTCCGACAATCGTTTACCGAATTTGTGAAAACTGGGTAGATGCCCATCGTGGTAAGGCATGTGACAAACTATAACCCCATTTTATTCAGTGCTCCATCGAACCGTCACGAGGCATGGACAGAAGTAGGTCCAGGACCAGAAATCCGTTACCTGAAAATAGCTCCAAATCCGCAGCTCAAACAGGGCTTTTACAATGGTACTTGCTGGCTTCTGGTTTATAGTTTTTGAAAACAAAATCCAAACCTTGAGGATGTGATGAGAAGTGTTAAACTAGGGGGAGAAAGGTAAAGTCTTTGCACCAAATGTACAAGTTTTTTTAAAGTGGCGCTAAGTGCGACGTAAAGGGAGCAAAATGAGATCAAAGCTTTCAAATGACAAAGAATGTACTATGAGAAAAATTGATTTTTAAACATCAAGCGATCCAGTTATTATTCTTCATCCCTAGAATACATTTTTTATTCTTCATCCCTAGAATACATTTTTTCAGAAACCACCACTTTCTGGCGCAAAATTCGACGTTACGGATTTGACATGGTGCAATTGTTGCCGATAAAGAAGCCGTTGGCAGAAACAAGAGAAGAACTCTGAGTTTGGCAGGGCAAAATGCTACATCTCTGAAATACCTGTACATAATTACCAGTTTCTTGTTATTTGTGCGAATAGATTTTTAAATTATCATATGCGCAAAAGTTATGTGATTTTGTCATATAAATTTCCTAATAAAATATCATGTGAACGTATTGTTTGACTACGAAAACAAACACAAAGCAGAGTGGCTTGAGATGTAGAAATTTTTGATATAAACGAAAAAGAAAACAATTTCTTGTCGTTCTCTTGTCTACTTCGGAATAAGTCGAAGAGCTGGCCAATCAAATTTCAATTGACACCAATATAAAAAAGTCATGGCAATCTATGCTTGTTGATTTATCAGTGACAGCATCTAGCGATAAGAGGGCATGTAGTCGTCTCTATGTATATATTGTGAAGAGGAACATCAGCAAAGAAGAGCAAATATTATGTTCTCTCAAAGCGATTTTTGATTTCCATAACAAGTCAACCTTCAACGCATTCGACTGATTTGTTTAGTACTTCTCACCACAGTTCTTTCCACTACGAAAGATATTAGGTTGATGGTGCATAATTCTTGCACAAAAATTTTTGTGATTCTGTTACTTCCCTCATCTCCAATGAATTCTTTCGATTTGGTACATAATAGAAAAAGAGCAAATTTTGCGCTTTTTGCAGGAGGCCGAGTCAAAATTCTTTGAGGACACATGACAACGATATAAGCTGACTAGTTGACTTACCCGGCTCCGCCTGGCCTTGTCATTATTATATTCGTGATCAGCATGCTCGATTACCCCCCTGTGCCAACTCCCAGCCCCGTAGCTCAAATTTTGCAAAAAATCGATAAAATCGATATCAATCGATGACGAAAAGTAGCCTATGACACCCGCCCCGTCCCGAAGTGTATGTGTGCCAAGTTTGGTCCGGATCGGTTCAGAAATGGAATTTTCTATTTGGAACATACGTACAGGCAGACAGACATACAGACAGACAGACAGACAGACAAACAGACATTCAACTTTATATATAAGATTAAGAGAAAAACCCAAAAAATGATTTTTCGATTAGTCAATAGAATTGCTAAAATGTCCAATAGAATTTGAATTTATTTTTGCTCTTGGTTTTATGACAAGCTCTTCTCGACTAAGCTAAGTTGGTGGTGAGTTGTTGTTGTTGTTTTTGTTGTTGTTTTTGCGAATAGTTACAAATTTCGATATTTTAAAATCGACTTATTGATTTTGTTCCAAACTGATTTTCTAGAATTTGCTATAAAATACCACTTTCGATATACATAAGAATAAGCATATTCTTCAAGTCGGTTAGTTTCTTTGAGCATTTCTAAGACATTCTTTCTGGTTTTTAAGACAATTTTTTTCTATTTTTTAGTGCAAGAATTGTGCATCAACCTAATATCTAGAGATTAGAATCCTGAGAAAGCAAAAATTTTGTTTGATGAAATTTTTCAGTCATCTGTGAATCAAGATGCTGTCACTTTTGGTGTATTTCATATGCCTGGCAGCAGCAAGAGCTCAGCTGCTGGAGCTAAATGAGGGAAAAGTAAAAGGATTTGAGTACAAGACGAAAAAAGGTGACATTGCCGAAGTGTTTCTCAATATTCCTTTTGCCTCACCACCCATTGGTGAACTTAGATTTGAGGTAATCAAATATGGTGCCCAAAGTTTGGGCTAAATTGATAAAAATAAAATTTTACTTTGAGAGACCACAGCCGCCAAAACCATGGGTTGGTGTCCGTAATGGCACCACTTTCGGAGCCGCGTGTGTTCCCATCGTTCCAGAGGCTGCATTCACGGATTCAATTAAATTAAGCGAGGATTGTCTAAGTTTGAATATAATACGACCCAAACCAAAGGTATCTGGAAATTTTTATGACACATATCAAAACAATTTTTGTAATTTTCAGGCCTCATCACAAAATTTGCTGCCTATCCTGTTTTATGTGCATGGCTCAGGTTTTGCGATGTCTTCGGCTGTCGAGTATGGGTACAAAGGATTTGCCGATATGTTTGCGGGCAGAAAAGTTATTGTTATTACGATACAATATGACTAGGAGTTTACGGTATCTTTTCAATTTATTTGTAAGTTTTCGAACTAGGAAATGTCAACAAATTGTTCCGAAAGTGTCTGATTTTTAGTTGCCTTCTTTCAAAGCATCTACATATAATCTCAGAGTTTTGCACTTATTGCAGTGTCATCAACATATCTAGTAGGAGCGCTTTTCCTTCTCCCACTGCTTAACCATTGATTTAGTTGGCTTGGCGGCTGGAGGGCGGGGCTTTGTGACTTAATTAAAGCGCACGCGTCTGCTACGCAGTCTGTGTTTCTCCCGCGCGTGTGCTCTCTGATCATTACCTAGCCTTAATTACTTCACGAAGCCCCGCCTTCCATTCGCCAAGCCCATTGATTCAAAGGGTACTTATTTCTGTGAAAAAATTACCTAATGATAAAACTCCAATTTTTGAAGTTGTGTCCAAAAGCACTCATGCTCAAAAAGTTTTTATGAAGAGAATTTCGGCAGTGTTTGTAAAATTATCTATGTAATATTTTATGTTGAGTAACGCTGTTATGGGCTAATTTACGCTCAAAGTATGGCTTTTTTATATGCCTCTAATTATTTCATTTTTTTGGCCATAATATCTCGGAGGTATAGGCTACTTGATGGCACTCAACTATGTCTGTCTAGCCCTATCTGGGAGCATCAATATGTCAAAATAGATGGCATCAAAAGAAACTTTGCGAAATTTCCGCATTTCTCTTCTCTCTCACTTGCCTTTTGCACTCGGCATTGTATTTATGGTAGCCATGCTCTTTTAATCCAAAAAATTCAATTTGTTCAAACGTTATCTTTAAAAAGGCTATAAAAATTTGATCAAAAAATCTGCTTTCCCATTTCCATACTTGGCTGATTATTATAAATAGTTCTTTATTCCCTGCTCGTGTAAGCTACTTGTTTACATACGTAATCCTAGGATTCTTTTCCACTGGAGATGAAGAAATTCCTGGTAACATGGGCCTGTTTGACATGGCTGAAGCTCTAAAGGTATAGTATTTAACTAGTCAAAACTTTTTTCTAGAAAATAAAATTTCTGAATATTTTAGTTTGTCCACTCCAATGCCAAGAGGATTGGTGGAGATCCTTTGCGCATTACCGCCTGGGGAGACAGTGCTGGTGGAGCAGCTGCAGCTCATCTGATACTTAGTCCGATAACAAGAGGTTTGCAGACTTTTCTCAATTAATGGTCTTTTACATCTCACGCACTGAAATCTTCTGCATTTTATCCTGTGTTGGTTTAATGCTTAGCAGGAAATGATCACAACTTGACCTTAGGATTCCAAACTAGCTATAACCCTTGATTCAACTGGCTTGGCGTATGGAAGGCGGGGTTTCGTGACCTAATTAAGGCCGCTCGCGTCCGCCATGCAGTCTGCGTCTCTCCCGCGCGCTTGCTCTCTGATTATTACTCAACTTCAATTAGATCACGAAGTCCTGTCTTCCAGCCGACAAGCCAGTTGAATCAAAGGGTACATCATCGGACTCGCTGATTTCGAATACATGTTTATTTTGCTGAACGACTACCTTGAAGAAGTTTCCATAGGAAGTTTGCTATGCACTAAAGAGGTACCCTTAGCAACTTGCGAAAATTTGGATGTCAGCAAATCGTTTTTGAACATTCAAATCACTGACCACAAAGCAGAGGCAATTTGAAAAAAGAATGTTGTAAGCCTTTAAAGCCTAAACAGGTTCCAACTGCCAAAAGGGATGATGAAGAATATCAGGAAATCATTACGGATTTGTTGCCAAGTTGCCAGCCGCTTTGGGTTCTATTCCCTTTTACCTTTTTAGATTGTGGCCTTGTTAGCTCATCTTTGATCTTCCAATTCTTTTAGTATTTTTCACTTTTTTCGAGTCAATAGCTTGCACCCCATGCTTTTGACGATATATCAAATTAGCCTGACGTACAGTGCGCAGCAAAAAGGATATATCTTCAATCAAAAAGAATTCCTCCAATTGTAATTGCACTCCTTGAACTTCCGAGTCTGCTTTTATAAGCTGGTTATATTATATTTTTATTATGGTAGCTTTTTATTTGCAGATTACATTGTCCGCTCCATTGAGACGTCGGGCTCACCTTGGGCAGCATGGGCAATTGGTAGCAGTGTAGTTAAAAATTCAATGGAACTAGCAAATGTAGCTTTTGACAACTATCATTGAGAAAACACGAGGTCGTGATCTATTTGTAGGCATTAAAATGCAAGGAGCAAATCAAATCTTGTATGAAACAAAAAACTGCTGAAGAGATTGTTGACGCCATCAGAAAAGTGGTGAGCATAATACATCTTATATTAAAAGACTCAACAACACATTTTATGGTTCGAAAACGGAAAGCTACGATTTTGTGAAATGGGGACCAGTTATAGATGGAATTTTTCTTCTACACCCAGATGAAATGGCCGCAACTGCACCAACAAAAGTGTCTATAATTGGTGTCACAGCTAAGGAAGCCATCGGTTTTGGTGAGTCGTTTTTCAGACTATTGATGTGATTGATATTCAGGAATAGCAGTTTATTCCGCTTCTTATTGAAGTACAAGGTGCAAACTTGTGAATGAGTTTTTTTTATGCAGGAAGCGCTAGCAAGTAAGTGCAGCATTACAGTGGCTTGTAATGGAGGAAGGGGGAGGGGAAGAAGAAGGGAACAGAAATGTCTTCTGACAAAGTAGGGCTTCATTGAGACGGTGCAAATAACTTGAAAAAGTAGCGACCAAAACCTTGTATTTCTAATCGCAGGTAGAAAATCAGTTGAGTTTGTCAGGGCCACAAATTTTTGTGGGTGATTTCTTAGCATAGGGTTGTGCTGAAGGTGGCTGATTTTGCGGCCATTGCTTACGCGTTGAGCCTCAGTCTTTTTTCTTCTGTGAAGAGCTTCTGCTGTCAGCTGTTAGCTTTCGACAGCCTAAGACGATTTTGAAAATCACAGTTGTTGCTTTATCGTTTGGATCTCGTGGCTTCTTGCTTGAGCAAGATCTCAGCATATAACCTTTGCGATCTGGAAATGCCTTATATGTCAGAGCACTTTGCCAAATATCGTCTTATTTCAGCCTTGCTTTGGCCAACTTTGGAGTTTTTCCACAGCCTCTACATTGACCCATCAAGATACAGCACCTGGGATCGAGAGAAGCTTGTCAAAAAATTGATGGTCGCTAAGCAAACATAGACAATCTGATTACAACTAACAAAATTTTTCCACAGGAATTCGTTATGAAAACTTACGTTGGAAACCATTTGTCCAACATATTGCAAGAAGTTATAAGATTCTACGTCGACAGAGACGAAGAGAAGCACTTTGAGTTCTACCTTGAACGCTACGTCGAGGTAAAGTGCTGGGTACCTCAAGCGATTTCAGTCGCGACGCGATTTGGCAGTATTCCAACAGTCCATAGCTCCCTGTAAGCACATTTCAAGTGTACAAAAGATAGGGCATTTTATCAATCCACGTAAGTTATACACACTATGCATGTGCAGTTTGCTAGTGTTAGATCTGAAGACTTCTGGCGAATTGCCAAGTCGCGTCGCGATAAATCTGAAGTATACCCGGCCCTTAATATGAAAACTCGAGGAGAATGTCTGTAAGCGATATTGCGTTTCAGTTTCTCAGCGACGTTCTTTTCAATGTGCCAGCAGTTGATGGTATTTTGGCTCGTCGTAGTGCTGGTTGGGATATATACGCATATGTATTTGATTACTGTCCTCCAGAATTTGATGATGATAAAATTCCGGGAAGGTTAAGAGGTGGGTTCATTGCTATGGAATATAGGCATTAAAGGCACCGTCCAGGCAATGTTGGGTGTTGGTGTTGGTGTTGCGAATTTTCTGGTCTTTGATAAAATGCCATGAAACCCATGGTTAGGATCATACTGTTTTTACAGGGTACGCTGCGTTCCAACCATGGTGGAAATTGTTTCAATCGTCCAAGAAATCTTGATCTCGAAAAGAGCCTGTTCTCGTTATTAGGATGAATGTTTGGATTTAGCATAGCGGTTAAGCCCAGGCAAGCGAAAAAGCTGGAAATTGAGTTTTTCTCCAGACACTGCCTTCAAGCATTGACTGAAGAATGGGGAAGAGCGCTCTTTCTCAACTTAAGAAAGAGTAAATTTTGATAATGACCTAGATTGGTTAAAAGTACCAGTGCACGACTAAAATGGTATGTTGAAAACAATCAGAAATGTAAATCAGCTTCGTAATGCTTTTGAGGACAAGATTACCGCCACATCCTTTCTTGAAATTTCGAATTATAGTTCTAGAAAGCATTTCAATATTTTTGATGAGGCCACACCTATTCATTTGGAAAAAATTTCGCTTTCCTTCTCGCAGAATTTCCGAACCGTCACTAGAATAAGCCCTATTCTCAGGTGTACAAGCCTCATCCAGTTTGCTCCAGATATGAGCAGACACGGATTATTGCTGTGCATGCGCGCGAAGCGGCTGCACCTTGCCTTCTGTATACAATTATACGGTTGATGCTCACGGTAAAGGGTCCTAAGCGGATATTTTTCAAGCGTCTATCTGTAGCACAGGCGAGGTGCGGCTACATCTGAAAATAGGGTATAAGCTCCTGCAAGACGAAGGCGGTTGGTTCGACGTGCAACGCGGCTGCGACGTCAGAGCCGCGTCATAGCCACGTCGCACATCGAACCGACCGCCTTCGTCTTGCAGGAGCTTATACATGTATCGAGCATGTGTCATAGCCACGTCGCACATCGAACCGACCGCCTTCGTCTTGCAGGAGCTTATACATGTGATCATCGATAAACCACATGCAATGCCGCTTCGGCAGCGACTTTTGGGCCGCCATTCGATTCCCACCTCTTATCTGCAATTCCATGCGCTAAAAATTTCCGAGACAATTCAAGAAATTGCAGCTGAAACTAAAATTAAATGATCACGATATAGGAGCTACGCATGGAAGCGAGTTTGTTTACGTCGGTGACATAAGCGCCTTGATGGGAGGACGCGAGTTCAAAGAGGAAGAAGCGAAAATTGCTGAGTTTTTAGGAGAGTCGTTGTCAGAGTTTGCTAAAAATGGGTAAGAATTAAACTTGTAATTCTTTCATTCTGAGGAAAAGGTTCTTTAGACAACCTTCCAACAATCAACAACCATGGTTAAGAGTCAAAGCAGATTCTGCTATTCGCTTTATGAATATCGCACCAAAGTGTGAGATGAAGACGGGCTTTTTTAATGGTGAGTTAGATGAAATTTGGTAAAAGAAATTTGCGCCAATCTTTGAGTCAGCCAAGAACTCGAGTCTATGAATTGGTCAATCTTTACAATCTTCTTGTGTTGAGCATAATGAAGTTCCCAACAAGCGCAGATTATTATTAGCCATTCTTGATATTCTTCTAAGGTCTTACGCGCAAAAAGCCTTCGCTGCACGGATTCTTATGCATACGAGCCTAAGTATGCGCTATAATACGAAAGCCTGCTTTTTCACTCTATCCTTGGAGTTTTCTAGCCTTTAAAGTTGTTTTTTTTGCCGGATTTTGCAATTTACTGTTCGTTCGTGGTAAGCATAGCACTTCTTCGATATACCCATTTGTCATTACGGTTTTGAACAAAAAATGAACTGTAGAGCGCCATATTTTGATAAATCAAATAGCGGGTTCGAGGAAAATGCTAGTTAACTTCATGTATTCGTGAAAGCTGTGTCTTTTACCACATCATTCGAAACAAACGGCTGTGGGACATTTAGCGGCTTTTGAACAAAGTACTCGAAGCAAAAGGCTTAAGCACATCATCTTTCTTGGATACCTAAAACTAGATAGCATTTATTTTTTTTGGCCCTGCTAAATTAAAGCAGCACTCATCACAAACAAAAGATTTATTCTCAAACAGTACCTCATACGGGCTGTCAGTCGTATCCCAGAAGATGTAGTGCACACAATACCAGGAAAGCTTACTCAGCAGTAAATTTGTGCCGTGTTCGTAAACTGTTTGACTCTAGACCGGACCTTTTTGTTAGAAAACCACACAGAAATTCTGATTATCATACAGCGAATCCTAAAAAACATTCACTTACATAAAAATTGTCGCGTTTTCAACGCAGTTGGGAACTAAAAACAAAGGCTTCGTAGCAAGAGTGTCAATTTTTAGTTATGGATAGTCAGAGAGCCAAAGCATTACGAATGTATAAGTTTGGTCTGATCTAAGGTCTGAAGTAAAGAGGTATCTAAAAGAGCCTAAAGTTGTCAAAGGCGCGTGCCCCTTTTCGATCATACCTTAGTTTTTTGCTTACATAGTAAAATACTATCTGCATGTTTGTACTTGCACTGCATTATCAAGTGAAACGTCCGCAAAATTTTTTTGGTGGGCTAAAATAAAGACGGAGTGAAGTTCTACTTAAGCATCTCTTAGGAAATGCTCAAAAACTTGACAACAAGAAAACACAAAAAGCCGAAAACAGCTGCCCTGTTTGGTCGAGCTTGCTCCTTTAACCATTTAGAGGTGCTCTCACACAGAGTGATTTTCAGTAGCTCCAAGCATTCACAGTAATGCTTAATGCACTAAATCGAGTCTGTCCATTCAATTTGCAAACATGTAACTTCCCATGTACAAGAAGATGATTGTTTCTTATGGAATGAACTTCTCTGGCGGATAACGGCACAATCATCTTCCAGTTCTTTATAGGCATGTTTGGGCAGAATTTCGTTTTTTAGGCTTCCTCTTTTCGGAGCCTTCTCGCCATGAGTAACCCACATCTTGGTTTCCCAAAGAATGAAAATGCCGAAACTGATCTTTTCCGAAGCTTTCCAGGTCCAATTCAGTGAAGATAAGTCGGAAAAAGCCGCGTCTACCACGCCTCCCTCGTTTCGAGCCCCACCTACTTACACGTATTTTCCACTGAATGCGGAATTGAGAAGCTTCGAAAAAATCTCATTTTCGCCATTTCTTGCGCTCGCCCAGATAGAGATTCCTCATGGCGAGAAGACTTCGAAAAGATGAAAAACTGGCCTGAGACACTGCCTTAAAAGTACTGGATCCATTACGTTTTATGATACCTTAAAAAGTTTCAGAATCTGCATCATTTTGGCAAAAAACAAGAAAATACGGATTTGATATGGTGAAATTGTTACGGACAGGAAATGACACGGAAAAGGTGAAGGAAGAACTTTGATGTGAAGACAGTTCCACCAGATCTCACAGTTTTTCTTAATCTGTTGTAAAAGCTGGTATAAAGAAATTACTACAGTTGCGAAGAACCTAGTTTTACGAGTGTAAGGGACACATTTTTCTTCGCTGAATGTGAGCAGCGTCGCAGCATAGCTGCGCTTTGCGAAATTGTGGCCTCCGCACAATTTCTTTTTCGAGGTGATGCGCAACAAAGGTTTCTGGTGTGAGCCCTTAGCCCCTTCAAGCTGCTCGCGTCTGGACTAAAATAGTGCGTTTACACAAATGATCTGGGGCAAAGTTTATGCGTATGGCCAGTGATGAAACCCTGCTTCCGTCAGCTCAGATGGTTGGAATAAGGCCTCAGGTGAGGTTCGTAAGGTGAACATACGAGAACCAGAACCGAGCCAGCTGCGAAAAGAGTTGAAGTCAGAGGCAAGTTCGACAGCTTGTAGTTTCTAAGCGCAAATCGCAAAACTCGAGTACAACTGCGGGTCAGAAGTTAACAGACTTCTCAATCAGATCCCCATGATATTTGAACGGAATTAATTCTTTGAAATGCACTAAAAATGGCCGTAGGAAGAAAAGTTGTGAGATTTTCATGGTCGGAAAGACATTTTTTCTTGGTGTGCAAATCAAACTCGTCTTGACATTGATATAAATCAGAAGCTGTATTGAAAACTTTAGGCTTCCCTTCACCGATAAGCATAAAAAACTTGGTGTCAAAGTTTAACCGAGCGCCGAAAAAATGCGTTTGAAAATGAAATTTTTAAAGGTGCCCAGAAACTTTCTTTACAACCTAATATTTTGCTGTCGCTATTAGCCAAATTTTATTTTGCGACTGCTCAGATTAGAAAGTCGTACCAAAATTATGATTCTTCATTGGCACTAAGGTTAAACTGTCGCTTTTTCATATGTCTCTGTTTGCCTGCCAAAATCTTTGACGCGTAATCAAATTTCTAACGGTAGTCGCTGTCAAAGGCTGCCTCGGCGATATAGCAAAAATGGTGGCGCACTTGTTGGTATAGCACCCTGGTACTAAGTGTATGCACTAGTTAGAACCATTTCACAAGTCCAAACGCTGCAAAGTTTTTCCGTTGAGAACAGGCAATTTTTATCATAATTACAACGACCAGCATCCGGATCAATGACTCGCTTAATAGCGGTTCGAGCGCTATAAGATCAACTTTGCCGTTTCAGTTTGCATACGCTGACAAGGTTTTACTACGGTCCTATATGTCAATATTGGTTATTTGAAATTTTTTTTGAAAAGTGCTCGTACACCAAAATGCTTGCTTGTACCTATACTGGAATAAGTGAATCACATATGATTCTTACACAATAGCCAAAGCCCGTTCCCGCTTTCGCGCCAAAACAAGCCTTTATGGAAGTCTCGTCTACTTTCGGTTGGGTGAGCGTCAGTGCTGAGACGTTGTAATCGAATGGTTCGCCATTTAATACTATTGCATGGTTCATCGCCAAACTGCTGCTTTGAAGGTGTACCGGTGTCGCGACTACATACCTAGAAAACAAAATGGACCTAAGATCTGAAGTTTTATAGAGCACGCATAGAGGACTAGGATTCCCTGTCTGTTACCAAAAGTTTCTTTCCGCAATAAAGGATCGGTAATCATGGTGTTAATCTGACTGTAGTCATCACATTCATCAAATGTTTTTTCACTAAGTATTAGGTTGATGCAAAAGGAATGGCCGATTTGCGAATTCTCACTTTGATGTGCTATAACTTTCTAAAAAATCCACATTTCTAAGTGCGGTAATGACCCGCAGAATCAGCAAACCTTTCGCAATACAGCGCAACTTATTAATATTCAAACCATAAACGGAAAGAGAAATACGGCTAAAAGACAAAAAAGGTTCTTCTGCGGGAACCTTGTATTTGACAATTCATAACTTCCTTCAAGGTCTCTTAGTATGAATAACAAGTGGCCTATCTTGCAGCCACAAGCCAGAAGTACAAAATACAATAAAAAGAATTCGGACAAAAAAGTTTGCGAGAAAGAAAATTGAAATTTAAAATTTCTCAGTTTTTTCAACATTTTTCCAGTGTGCCTCAAAGTCCGGAATATAGAGTTTTCTGATTTTCTACGCACTGAACAGCTGGATGTTTTTGCAAAAACTGCTAATAAATGTCCTAGCCTACGCTTATAGAATTGAGCAAAGCTTCGGCGACTGACTTCCTCGGAAGAAAATTATGGGTCATAAAATGACCGCAACAGCTATCCATGTTTAGGCGCCGATATCTCAGTCTGGATAACTTCAAAGAATGCAGTTAAGTTTGCATAATGAAGAAAATTTCTATTACATACAATAGCTAAATTTTCGAAGAATTTCCATTGATACGCGCTTGAATTCTGGCCGGAAAAGTGAATGCAATGAAATTCTGAATTTGGATGCGGTTATTTGAAGCTCAGTAACTTTATAAGAGATGAGAGCCCGTTTTAAGCACCGTTAGATAGAGCATGAAAACAGCTTCGCGACAATTTAATACATTTATTGTAAAGAAGAAGTATTGATGGAAAAAAGTTGCCCCGAAAAAAGGCTTTGAAAATCGGCCATTTCTTTTGCATCAACCTAATACTTAACAGCACCATTGGTGCTTAGATCTCAAACCGTCATATGGACCACGGGTCGGGTTGCGGAAAGTCGGAACTGCAAACTCCGATTAGGTAATGAACAGCTTTTGTACTGCAAGAAACTCGGTACTTTTTTTCGTTGGTTCAAGCAGTTTTGGACCTGACTGCTGTATTGCTCACACTTTGGAGAGCTTCCTTACTGCTCGGCCAAATCTTTCGTGAAAGTAGTCGCTTTAAAGGTGCATTACATTCTTTTCAATTGCTTCATGTTTATTTCGACTTTTTTTCATGTTGTACTATTGCGATCCTTCCTGTTGTTCAGTGCGTTAGCGCTCGCTTCGGAACCACATAACTGGTAAGTACAGGGTGTTCCAAAAGTATGTATACGCTATTTCATCGTTAATATTTCTTTTCCCAAGAAGTTTTTTGCTTACCTCTAAGCACCATCTTGTAGAGCGCGCTTCAACTTAGATTAACAATATGGAGCGAATGTCGGTCACCCTTCATTACTGTAGTATTACGGTAGAAATTTCAAGAATGGTTGTGAGCCATCAAAGACTTTTTCGCCTCAGAGAGCAAGCCGAACAACCAGACAACTTTTATGCTAGATCAACTGAAACCGCTAAAACCAAATATGATATACCAAATATGCACTTTACTGCAATGCTTCTTTCATAAATTATGCCAAGACCGCAATAGCTTTTTTACAAGACCTTATAAAACCGTAATTATACTATTTTAAAAGCCTTGTAAACTCGTAAAAAGTTAGATAATAAAATTAGCGAGCATGGAATCCCTAGTGCACCATTTTTCAGATTTTTTAGAGACTTTTTTTGAAACACGGTAAATTCTTAATGCCGTCATAAGCTGAAAGTTCCTACCGTAGCTTTACAGTAGTGAAGAAGGATCCGTGGTTCGCTACATACTGTAAATCTAAGTTGAAGACAGTTCTACAAAATGGCGCTTAGAGGTAGGCGAAAGACTTTTTGCAAAAAGAGATATCAACGATGAAACAATGTATACATACTTTTGGGACACCCTGTATATGAAGCAAGAGATATTCAAGAAAAAAGAACAAGTGGTAATTTCCAACTGAGTGTAACAACTTGACGCAATTGCTCTGAAGAACGACTTATCGGTCTTCGAGCAACCGTCTCCTTCAAGGGCTTAGCTTAAACCAGTCCGCATAGGAATTCAAGCGGAAGCTATGAGATAATTTCTATAAAATACCTACGAAAGATAACCTTTTGTTTCATGCAGAATCAAGGAGAAATGCTGGAAGCTTGGCGTCAAGGCCTCAGAAGCGGCTGCATGCGCAACCGCTACTTTGCAAAAGCTACGGCTAACATAGTATAGGCTCCCTTACTTCATACTTAAGCCGTCTATGGCTCATTTGCACAGTTTCGCTGGGAACAGTGGTTATAGAAGCAACTCCCCAAAGGTTTATGGGCTCTCTGTAGCTGTACAAAAGCATAATAATGAATTCTGCTCTTCTAATCGAAGTTGCATCCTAATATAGTGGCTATACTTGAACTAAATTATTACTACTCCTCGGAAAAACACAGGGGCTCCCATCCGATGGCAACAACGTCCGATGTATAATTGTCCAGCGTTATTAGTCTCGTTTTCATTTTCCCATTTTTGTGCTTCCATTCACCTCTGTACCAAATGAAACCCTTGGAAGTTCTCATAAATCGTCTAATTTATTCCTACCTTATTTTGGTGGAATTCCGTTGTATTTACACATTACTTTGCAAACAGAATTCTTATTAGCAAAGCTTGCGATTGAATTTGTGCCAGTAATCTTCTTTTACTTTTACTACAAAGCCTCAACTCCATCTTATTAGTTTTTTGTAGCTATGCAAAAGCTGGAATTATAGCATTAAGGTTTTTCTATATGTGCAAATAGAGGTTCGAAACCCTTAGACCTGATTTATGACGCTGCAGCAGCAGCTTTTTTGTCCAATGGTCATTTCATTCGTTTGTGGGCTGCACTCTGCTCTGCACTCCGTTACTTTTGTCTCTATAAGTTGTCCCTGATCACCATTGATGAGTTCCCAGAGTTTCAAATTGGTTTTAAACCACATACTTTGGTGGTAATGCATGTGTAGCATAGTCGTTCCTTGGCGAGTTCAACTCATTTATTTTTCTGTAACATCACAAAAAATGTCCCTTGACAATGTTTATTTCACTTGCAGATGATTATCCACTGTTTTCTGATCTCATTGGTGTTGTTGCAAACGTCATCTCAGGTACTAGAACTAATACCAGGAAAGGTGCATGGATTCGACTATCGTATGAAAAATGATGACCTAGCTGAGGTGTTTCTGAATATTCCTTATGAGGCTCCGCCTGTAGGGAGCTGAGATTTGAGGTAATCAAAAACCTTTCCTTTGCAAAGTAATCTACAGTTATAACTTCAGAAACCCAAGCCAGTCACTCCATGGAGAGACATGGTCCGTGACAGCACATCATTTGGTTTTGCGTGTCACCAAATACTACCAGATGTTGGCTTCAAAAAAGTTCCGACAAGCGAAGATTGCCTTACTCTGAACATCATTCGGCTGAAAAAGGAGGTTCTTTGTTTTTTATCTAGGGTTCGCACCAATGAATAATTATTTTCAGCCTCCTTCAACGGGTTTTCCTGTAATGTTTTGGATTCATGGCGGCGGATATCAGTTTGGTTCTGCACATGGTTACGGGTACAAAGGCTTTGCTGACATTTACATCCCGAACTATATTATTGTTGTGACAATACAATATCGATTAGGGGTATACGGTAAAGGTCACACTGGTCTTGCACCTTAGGTTTAGCAAAAGTAAATATGCCTAGGCTTTTTCTCTACCGGTGACGAGCAGACACCAGGAAATCTCGGTTTCGGGCTATTTTGTGCAATAAATGTTCTTGAAAACGTATCCATTTGACTCAGACACCTCGGGACGATAGGAAAAGTCAACGACTGATTCCACACTGATCATGCATTAAACTTCTTGCCCATAAAAATCTCCAAAACTCTTTGGTCAGGAACCCGCAGCACATAAGGAAGCATATTTGGAATCAGTGTTTCGTACTTTTCAAGTCAGTACAAATCTCATACAGAAAGGCCACTTCGACTAACCTTCTTACCCTTGTGAGATATAGATGCACGAACTTTTGGTGGAAAACTGAGAATCACCAAAAAAAAATTTGCATTTTGCTTGATTTGCGCTCTCGTCGTTTGTAACACTTCTCACTTATCTGAGAAATCCTCAAGCAGAAGCAACCTAAAGGATTCCAGCATCTAGTATGTAGAACTACTGTGCTCTCATATAGATGCTAAGTTTTCGTGGCCCTGGAGTACTTCTTCTGCCGTTCTCAACTATCTTCTCTTTCCGAATAAAGATTCTGCAGAAAATTTTGTTGGAATGTGCAAAAATATTCCTTCGCCAAAGCTTGTGCGCATTTTTTTAGCTGCTATGAATTATAGATTAAATTTCACTAATAATTCCACTCATTCAGCGACTTACTACCATCAAACAGGACTTCTTTTTCAGCAATAGCAGAGATAGCGAAAGATTTCCACCAGCTTCACATTAAGGCTGAAAATTTTGAAAAGTGGAACAGAGAGAAATTAGTCAACGAGCTCAGGGTAAACTAAGCTTCCTAATTTTTTACACTTGGAAATGCCCCTTAAACCACAGTTTTTTCAGAAATTGGTAGAACAAGTATACTCCGGCAATGACCTTCAGCAAATTATAGATGAAACTAGCTGGCTTACCCGGCTCCGCCGTATGCTCCGAATAGAAAATTCCATTTCTTAACCGATCCGGACCAAACTTGGCACACTTACACTTCGGGCCCCGGTAGGTGTCACAGTCCACTTTTCGTTATCGATCGATGTCGACTTTATCGATTTTTTGCAAAATTTGAGCTAGGGGGCTGGGATTCGGCACAGGGGGGTAATCGAGCATGCTGATTACGAATACAATATTAGTTTTCGAAACCGTGCATTACTTTCATCGATTTTATCGATTTTTTGCAAAATTTGAGCTAGGGGGCTGGAATTTGGCAGAGGGGTGTAATCGAGCATGCTGATCAACCCCACGGGGGTGATCAGCATGCTCGATTACCCCCCCCCCCTGTGCCAACTCCCAGCCCCGTAGCTCAAACTTTGCAAAAAATCGATAAAATCGATAAAAGTAATAGATAATCCTGAAAACCAATATTGTATTCGGAATCCCCATGCTCGATTACCCCCCTATGCCAACTCCCAGCCCCGTAGGTGAACTCAGCAAAAAAATCGATAAAATCGATACCGATCGATGACGAAAAGTAGCCTATGACACCCGCCGGGGCCCGAAGTGTATGTGTGCCAAGTTTGGTCCGGATCGGTTCAGAAATGGAATTTTCTATTCGGAACATACGTACACACATACAGACATACAGACAGACAGACATACAGACATACAAACAGACAAACAGACATTCAGCTTTATGTATAAGATAATTGCCTATTATGTTGACAGAAAAGAAGAGAAAAGTTATGATTTCTACATCGATCGCTACACTGAGGTAGGGTAATTTTTCTATTGAGCTTATCCTGTAAGCTGAGGAGATTTAGTTTATCAGCGATTTGCTCTTCAATGTGCCAGCTGTGGAGGGAATCTTGGCTCGGCTAGCAGGTTGGGATCTGTACGTCTATTTGCTTGACCATTATAACGATGCCATTTGGGACAGGAATGTCAAGAAAAAAATGAGAGGTGCTGGAATTTTGAGATTTTCGCTTACAAATACACTAGTCGTCTAAAAATTTCATAATCTGGGAGCCCCACATGCCAGCGAGACACCCTATACAAATGATGTGTTTCTTCAAAAACGTTTCGAATTCGACGACAAAGAACGAGTTGTTGCAGAAATTTTCCGACAATCGTTTACCGAATTTGTGAAAACTGGGTGGATGCTCATTGTGGTAAGGCATGTGACAAGCTATAACCCCATTTTATTCAGTGCTCCATCGAACCATCACGCATGGACAGAAGTCGATCCAGGACCAGAAATCCGTTACCTGAAAATAGCTCCAAATCCGCAGCTGAAACAAGGCTTTTACAATGGTATGGTACTTGACTTTCGATTTATCGTTTTTGTAAACAAAATCCAAATTTCGAGGATACTGATGAGATCATAACGTTAAAATAGAGGGAGGAAGGTAAAGTCTCTGCGCCAAATCATACGTACTTTTTTTATTGTGGTGCCAAGTGCGACCTAAGAAGAACAAAATGTGATCAAAGCTCTCAAATTATAATGTACTACGAGAAAAACAAAAGATTAGGTCTACTGTATTTTCGAACATCAAACGATCGAATTATTATTCTCCATTACTGGGAAACATTTTTCAGAAACCACTACTTTCTGGCGTAAAATCCGACGTTACGGATTTGACATGGTGCAATTGTTGCCGATAAAGAAACCATTAACAGAAGCGAGAGAAGAACTCTAAGTTTGACAGGGCAAAATGCTTATCTCTGAGATACTTGTACATAACAGTTTCTTGTTATTGGTGCAAATAGATTATTTATTTATCATGAAACTTCATAATTTTGTCATACAAATTTTCTAATAAATATTATGCAAACGTATTGTTTGACTACGAAAACGAACGGAAGTCAGAGGGGCCTAAAACGTAGAAGACTTATTATAAGGAAAATAGAAAACATTTTTTGCCGTTCTCCTAGCTCCCTTCAGAAGATCGGAGAGCTGGCGCTGTCGGCTCGTCAAATATACTAATACCAGTCCAAAGCGCCGCTTCGCGGCTGTGTGTGTGAAGTAGGATGTGTTTAGAAGTTGGAACTTCAGGACTTTTTCCCCCTACCTTTTCTTAGCCAGCGGTAGCCTTATTCTTCCGAGCACGCACAGCCTTATGTGTAGAATACACCGATTAGTGATAAGTCAGTCTCTAACGTACAGACGTCCTAGGATAAACTCAAACACTCTTTAGCTAATTCGGGCTCAGACAGCCCCACGCCCCTGCTACCCTAATCAAAGCTCCACAGTCCTAATGCCCATATTTTTTAGTAAACGTGCCAGTAGATGCTCACCTGCTTTCTATAGCCTTTCCCTCCCATAGTATCCCTCTCCCCTCTATTCTCCACAGGTACCATGAACTTTATTATGTTCACGTGTGCCGTTTTAGCGCCATCCATAGAGTTCTAAGCCAATCTTCCTCCTTCCTCCTGCCTCCCCCCTTCCCCACCTCTTCGTTGGTTTCTTACTTTTGGCGAAGAATAGATGAGAAGAACAGATGGGACTAGGATGATTGAAAAGTTTCTATTAGAATTTTCTGTCAAAGCTTTTTCACTCTGAAGCTTTTCTCAGACGGAGTTCTTAAAATACTTCTTTACAATTTTCGGTCCTGCTTTCGAGTTTCACTCACCAAGTTGCCTTTAACGCAAACAAAATTCTTCAGCACTCTCCCGAATTTCTCCGGAACCCTCTCTATCGCTCCTAAAGTTCTTCTTCAAGAATGTCATTATCATTCAAAATTTTTGCCAAAACTCTCCAGTCGGTTCTTTTTTTCTGTAACCTTAGTTTGACCGGCTCTCTTTAGTTTACCTGAAGTGGCCCGAAATCCACTACGCTACAGCTAAAACAGTTGATTTCTTTAGTATCAAAACCTAAAACTTTGATGGGAGAAATCCATCTCTTGACATCTTCATAATGTTAAATTGCAGCGAACTGTGAACTTTTAAGCGCGTGATGATTTCTGCAGAATGAAAATGATCTTGTATGTAACAAAGCGTCTCGGAGGAGATGGTTTTTTTACAAATTTTGGTCGTGATAAGACCGAAAGGGCAACTACATGGCATAGCGCCTACCTTGCTGATATCGAAATTCGTTAGTGTATAAAGTAGTATAGTGATGACTGAGCTTTTGAAGTTTTTGGCAAACATTTCCCTCACCAAAAGTACGACATAGAATTCCTACGCACGCAACGAACCCATAGTCAGCCAAGTCAAAGTGCCAGGAATCTTTCCTGCTTTATAAGGAGGTTCCCTGAGTTTTATCAACTGAAATCAGATTTTGACTGCTTCCTCCCAGGCTTTTCTATCCACTTCCATGCTCTACAGGGTACTCGACTTTCGTAACTTTTTGCGTTTGCAAATTGCGCTTTGCCGTCTTTTCTGAGTTCTTTGAGCCATGCTGCCTTCCATACCCCTATTTTTACATATGAATGTTACACATACGGTATTTCCTGAACTACTGATCATTTCTGGCATTCCCAACATTTCTAACCCAATCGCCTTATAATCTTGCCCTAAAGCTGCTTTTTCAAAATGCGCCACATGCACCCTTATACTCTGTTCCAATCCAATTCAAGACGAAATCCATGAACCGCCTCATGTCAGCGATTTGCTAGTGGTGTTCACGTCAGGACCTATCTTCCTCCCCATTTTCATCAACCACTTGGCGATGCTATGAGTGCAAAGTGCACTGCAAATCCTTTGCGTTGCGAGCGCACGTTCCGATCCAAAGTTGCGTGATCGCGATTTAGACAAACACCTAAATTTCCCATTCCTCCTACATTTTGCGAAGATTTTCGGGTACTTCCAAACCTCAAACCTATGCATTTCAAAGTGCTCTGATCGAATTGGATGTCACGCACTCGACATAGTCTCTTAGGGCCGCATGCACTAACCTCCCCGCTGGGGAGGGGATCGCAGCTTAAAAGAAAGCTTTATATTTCGAAACTCCAGATACCTGGATTTCACATTGTGCACACCTATCCGTAAGTATTCCTACTACCCTTCACTATGAACATGTTGAAGAGGAG